CATAGTATGAAACACGGACTAGAGGTACTCCCTTGATATCTCACACTGTCACAGTGACTTTTATTCAAATACCCTACATGAAAGTCAGTCCTCTAAATCCTCCTAGAAACAAAATTAGGATTATATCTATCTTTATAAGAAGTAAAGAAATATGTGAGAAGAATGACTTTTTATATCTTCTAATGGAATGTGGTGCACAGATTGGTGGGCTAACACTGACTGTAAGCCAGTATGGCATATGCTGAAATGCAGAACAATATCAGATCAGTAGCTCAGCCTAGAACTACTTGCTGGCACAAAACTTCTGACAAGCAAATAAATATATACTGCTTCCAAATGCAATGTTTCATGTGAGCTAGCTCAACTGTTTTGCCAGGGTAGGTCAGTTCCAGGATTATCTTCCCAAAATCTGGACCTCCTCTAAATGACTTTTCTAAATGGCGAAATAACAGAAGCAGAATTGAACATACCTACTCCTGGCTGTTAACATAGCCATTGTATAGCCCATTTTCCCTTATTTTATTGTGCCATGAAAAAAGTTTAGGATTACGTTATTTTGTAGAACTGCAAAAAAGGGGAGAAAAAGACCATCTAACATCCAGTTAGAGACTTTTAAAATACTTGGTTCTACTAATTCTAGAGCAGTCTATAGGTAAGAATTTTCAAAATCTTGGTTCCAAAATTTTAGGACTATGCTTTGATTCCCTGTACCTGATATTAACTATATGAATTGGAAAGGGGCAAAAATCTTTTCCATAATACAAAGGAGAGTTTGGATAAATTGGAAAGTACAACTTAATTGTGAACATAATTGCACTTCTTGCAGATAAATGCAGTTGTAAGTCAAGAAAGACAGCTTCTAACAATTGGGTCAGTTGTTTAATTTTGTGGTCTAAATTATTAATGAGAACATTTCCATAAGCTTTCTGCATAAAAATTGACTTCATAATAGAGAGGTCGGCTGGTCTTGCCTTCTAGCTTTTATGATTATCCGTGGTAATCAGAAACTGTTTTCCTATAAACGTGTGCTTCTTTTATGCCTCCTGACATGCATACCTATACACAGACATAGGCAGTGAATTACAAGCTTTATGATGCAAAAATTACTTTTCTGGGTTCTAGTTAAAAGAAAATTAAATTAGACTATGCATGTAGGATTAAGAAACATAAAAGGGTTAAATGGCAAGTGTACACAGGAATAGTATTTAGGTTTTTTTTGTCTGAGTAATTTAATACCTTGGGAATCTTGAAAGCCATATTGAGACAATTATGGAAAGCCCAATGTAGGCTACTTTTCACAGTGTGGCTGCAGTCAGACAAAATGGCATGATGCATAAAGACAACAAGCATATCAGTACAAGAATGCATAGTGCTATTGTATAAATCAGTAGTGTTTCCACATCTGGTAGACAGCCATGTTGAACACAATATATCCTGGAGACTGATGCAGTGGTAATATAAGGAGACTTGAGGCAAGTGGTGAGGGTGATTAGGACTGTAAAGATTTTTATAAGAGGCGACTGAAGAGTGAGATTGTTTATGCAGAAGATAGCTTGGAAACTTCTCTAACCTGTCTCCTAAAGCAAGATTTAAGAGCATATCCAGTAACATCAAATAGAATAGATTCAAAACAGATAAACAAGATTTTTGTTTTTTATCTGAAACACAAAGGAATGAGAGGATTCAAGGTCAGAAAGATTGAAATTTAAGGTGATTCAGACAGATGTTTGACACCTTTCTCAATGAGAATTTAAAATAATGGACATGTTTTTTGTTTTTTGAAAAGTCAAATAATTTTAAAAAGAAGTACCTGAACCAAATGTATACTTTTAATATAGTGGTTTATTGCATCTTCTTGTGATATATCTTGGCTGTCCAACATTAGAAATATTGAGTAAGAGTCAGGATAATGGACAAAATGGACAATTATTTTTATTCGGGATGACAGTTTCTCTTCCTATTGCAATCTGAATTAATTTGTTATCATTTCTCTCTGCTCCATTTGCCAAGAAAAAAGAATGAATGGCGGCTTTGATTTCTCTTTCTGCCCCCAGAACGTAGCTGTCAGCCCTTTTTCAGAGGTTCAAAGGGGCAAAAATTTTGAAACATCTTTCACATTTCATACTTACAATCTATGAACTGGCCAAAAACCATGGTGAGTATACCATTCTATGCTCCTTCTCTGGGATTTCACTACTTTAATAAATGAGAGATGGTCCATTTTACAATTTCAGGGATGCTCAGCTGGAAACACTTACAGGATCTGTTTTTTATTCTAAAAGCACTCATCCCTTGAAAAATGTTCTGTTTCCAAGTGTCTCAATTTCTGTATTGAGTCAACTGTTGAGAGTCTTACCGTAATAACTCAAAGCACTTAATACATTCATAAGAAATTTGCTTTAATAAAAAAAAATCTTCTTTTACTAAGACTGTCTTCTCCTACTAGTCCGATTTATATATAAAACAGGTTCCAAGCCCAAAATGTAACCATTCTTGGTTGGGGCACTTGAATGCTGAACCAGTATTTTAATTTTTTACCTACTTTTTCTTTGTATAAAGGTTCAAAATCTTAAGTCCAATTTGTGTTAGCTATCAAATTAGCAATATACAGCTGTGATTAGAACTGCTTAAAGACAAAATTTCTGTTCTATGGGATTTTCTGGGGAAAAAAGTGTGAAAATGTCATTCAGTTGTGGAATTAAAAGAATAAATGCTGGAAACTTTTTTCCCTGAGAAACAAACCCAAAATTAACTACTTAGAGTTAATTGGAATCTGATAGAGTCAGAACATTAAAGTTGGAAGTGTGGGTCAATTAAGAGCAGGTTACTCAGTGCCTTGCCCAGTTTGGTTTTGAGTTTTGGTTATCACCCTCACAGTGAAATTTTTTTTTTTCTGATATGTAAAGTCAGAATTTCCCATGTTCCAGCTGGTGCCAGTTGCTTCTTGTCCTTTCCCTGAGCAGAGACACCTGGCACACCTGGTGCTACTGGGGTCTCTGGGTGCAGCTGGGGAGCTGCTCCTGCTGCCAGGAGGTTCCCCTCAACCCCAGTGCTCGACCCACAGATGCCCCCGAACAGTGTGGATCCCCTCCAGGTGCAGGTGTGCACACGTGTGTGTGTGTTAACCAGTACTGTTCGCATTTTCCTCGTCGCCCCTGAGGGACAGCCCTAGTAACCAGCTTCTTCTCAGTTGGAGCTGGTACTGATGCTCACAGCTGGCAGCATGCTGCCTGGCAGTCCGGTCAGTGGTCTTTGCGGTCCTTCTCACCCCATTTGCTCTAAGGACACCATGGAAGACCACATCACAGGCTTTGTTAATTCAAGGTAGACAGCATCCACTGCTCTTCTTTCATTCACCAAACCAGTCCTGTATTCATGGCGAGCTCTCAGGTGGCAAGGCTCAACCTTACCAGGTCCAAGTTGTCTATTCCCAGTCATTTCTTGCTTTTCATATCCTGGATGTTGTTTGCTGGAGGATTTGGTCTGTAACCTTCCCAGGGACTGAGGATGATTAGCTTGTATTTACCTGGATCCTCCTTTTTTGCTGCTCTTGGAGGTGGATGTGGTGTTTATATTTTCCAAAAGTCTTAGCCTTGAGAAGTCCTCACATGGTATTCTGTGTCACCATGAAGCCTTATCTCACCTGACTTCCTCCTCCTGTGTAGGCCTAAACTCCAAAAGCCACAGTCTTCCACAATGTGTATATTTGATTACAACTCTTCATGGCAAAATACACATAATTTTTAATATACAAAATCATAAGTTTATGATTCACACTCCAGTTGATGTAGAGTACACAATTTGAACTGTTTTGCCTAACATCCACTCTGTTCAGAAGTTCAGCTTCTTTTTCTGATTCTTTTTTTTTCCGTCTATTTGTCCCACAGCTCTGTCTTCTGGGATTAAAGTTGTAATAAACCAGAAAAAAAGCTGTGCTAAGTGAAGGACAATTAATTTGAGGTTACTTGAAAGCTCCCATACAAATAGTTGTTAAAATTTCACATGGAAATGCTGCTTAGAGTGGTGTCAATACACAGAAGAGAAGGTAATAAGAGACAAATCACAAGGGATTAGAAAATATGGTATGTCCTTGAGCACTACAATAAACAGGTTATTCAATCTTGCTGCGGTGAAGTACTTGTGGTAGTACATCCCTCAGGCATTGCTATGCTATAAGGAAGAAAAGAGGCTGAAGTACGTTCAGTCTGACAAGGCCACAATTAAGAGAAGCTGGTAATAACCTGCACATACCTAGAAGGCATTAGAGTCCAAAACGGAGACAAAGTGATTGGTGTGGTTAACAAGTGTCTAATAAAGAACAATAAAATTAAATTAAGGCAGAGTCTATTAGGAAAACGTCTGATTGGTGAGATGTTAATAAGCTGTTGACATGCTTCCATGGGAATGTGAGGGACAGCCCATGAGCTGGGATTATGAAAACTGCATTAACTAATACATTAGAAAATTTTATCAGTTCCATATGAGCAGAGAAATGAAGGGAATGCTTTTATGAGAACCCACGTCTCTAACATCTGTGATGCTCGGTTACACACTCTGACGATGTCCCATTGAAATCCCTGTGGAAAAGTTGCCACTGATTCCAGTCAAGGTGGATCAAGACCTTAGTGCTAATACCGGCTGTGTTTGCCATGGTCATTTGTCTAGGAGCAAAGGTGGTAATGTACAAGGAATGGCTGTACCAGTGTGAGGACCATGGGAAACTAGGTATTCAGTATTTCTTTAAAAATAGGTATTCAGTACTCCTTTAACTGTAGAGGCAATGTGTTAGCTGCATATCTGTTTTCCCTTATAGGAAGAGTTAATTAGTTATACCAAGGGGGATTGTACTATTCCATCCAGGAGAACGTTGTAGGTTTATGTAGCTTTGTTTTTTTGATCTAAAAGACTATTATGTTCTATATTTTAAAATGTAACACATAAAAGTTAAATTTGATTTTCATTGTTTGTCAAGAGTGTTTGGGTTTTTTTGTCTCACTCAGATATCTCACTTATGGGCGCATCAAGTGTGAGTGGAGCCCATCTTGTTCTCGCACAGATTGTTGCCCTTCTGATGAAGAGGTTTCAACACACTAGGCGAGACTGGAGAGGAAGTCTGTCAAATGTGCTGCTGCCTGTCCTCTTTGTTGCACTGGCAATGGCCTTGTTCAGCGTGAAGCCGCTGGCCATTGATTATCCTTCTCTCAAGCTGACGCCAAGACTTTATGACAATGCAGAATCCTTCTTTAGGTAAAGGGCTCATCCATCATCATCGATATCTAGGCTTCTGGGACTTTCGCCTTTAAGTTCTCATATTTTAAAGAGTATTTATGTTCCAGAAAGAATTATAAAAATAGGTTACTTTTTACAATAACTGTTTATTTTTCAGATGTTTAGTATACTTTTATAGATTATTATGAGGGAGAGACAAAATTAGAAAAACATTGTGCAAAGGATTTTCTGGAGGAAAGGACAAAGACTTTGGAGCAGTTTGAACTGGGTAATCTGTTTCAATACCCATCATGGCCATTTATACGGAAATGCACAAGAGTATTTAAACAAGTATTTGTGTGCTTCATTTTAACTAATTGCTTAGGTCTGAAGCCATTTTCTCAAAGTAATTATCAGGTTTGAAAGTGTCACACAGTATTGTCAAAGCCTGGTGCTCTTCTTACTCAACCTCTAGTTTCTATACGCTCAGCTTTGAAACCAGCTAGAACTATTTATTCATTTCTAATGTACAGTATCTATAGCCCAGCTTTGAGCTATTCTGTTTCGAGCGCATATCACACACAGATCACCTTCTCTACTGGACAAATACACAGATATCTTCATAAACATAAGATGCTGTCTGAATTTATAAATGAAGCTTAAAAACACTTAAACCACACTAACTGTTAGGAACACATATTTATAAGGAGAAAGATGGCCGTGGGGACATGTTGAGATTTTTTTAGTCATAATTGTACTGAATGTTCTTTGCATGTTCACATACGGTTTTTGAAATATCATTTTACAGTTTTGGTATGTCTCTTATGCATGTATTTTATAGTTCTTTAATTTCTTGGTAAACTTGTAGGATCTTGAGCTTGAAAGTTGGTAGAACAAGGCATATTAACACGTTTGTGTTTCTTCTTCTCTTTTCTTCCCCCACTTTGTCCCGTTCCCACCCTCCCCCCTCCCTCCTGGCACACTTTGAACGGCACTGAAGATGATAACCTAGGTAACCTTTCACAGATTCTACTGAGATATTTCTCTGACTGGGACCACACATGCATGCATTCAAAACAAGGGTAACTGTGAATAATGTAACTACTTCCTTAATTGTAAACATTGTAAATTCAATTTTCTTTTTTCTCTGTAATGTGGACTATCTTAAGCTTTTCTTGCAGCATGAGGTTAATGAAAAATTTGTTCTGATGAAGGAGCTGGCATTCAGGTAAAGTACATAAGTAGACTTCATTGTTAGAGGTCTGATCCAAATCCCTTAAAAAGTCAGTGACATCTTTCTGATGAATTTCAGGAGGATTTTGCTCAAGTCTGGTATCCATATATATGAAGATTAGACAATAATTATTGTTAGGAATTATAAAACGATATTTGTTAGGAAGTATTCCAGATTTCGTAATTTAGGAATGCAGAGTTGTGACCATGCTCTACTTCTCTTATTGCTGCAAACGCAAAGTATGCAGCTCATTTGCTGCTTTACATCCAGAAATTCTTTTAGGGAATGTGCTTTGACACAAATGAATAGAATTAATGCAGCTCTAGACACAGATGCAACTATGACAAAATGCTAAGAAGATTTTAAAGATGTCACATCTGCTCGTTTCTCTGTTAATTTCTTTTGTTAAGTAATATATTAATTTCATTTAATGGTTGTTAATATTTTTTTGTTTATTCCTATTAGAAAAAATAATTCATGCTGGCAGATGGAATCTACATCATCCCAGGATTCATGTGGATGTGTGGCTGAACAAGAGGTAAGTCATTTTATATTTACTTATGTATTTAAAAATTATGTGTATATTACATGTAATATCTTGACCCTTCTTTTTGAAGGGCTACAGAAAGGGCTGATGAAATAAACCCTCTGAGCACTGGTTTTGTTATGATTGGAGATTTCCTTATGTTTCATCTAACATCTGGTCTACATGTTCTGAAGTCTTCAGGGCTTTCACAATTTTTATTTATATATATGTGTGTGTATATATGTACTAGATCAATCTGAAATAACAGGAATTGGAGATGGCTGAACTATTCTCAGCAGATGCAGCTTTGCTTTAAATATGTTATAAGACTTTTTGCTTACAAAAAACCTCATATAAAACAAGATTAAAATATAACACTTCCATAATATCTGTAAGACTACCTACTTTCAAAAGGGAAATGCAGATGATCCCAGCTGATAGAATCATAAAATCGCAGAATGGTACGGGTTGGAAGGGACCACTGTGGGTCATCTAGTCCAACCCTCCTGCCGAAGCAGGGTCACCTACAGTAGGCTGCACAGGACCTTGTCCAGGTGGGTCTTGAATATCTCCAGAGAAGGAGACTCCACAACCTCCCTGGGCAGCCTGTTCCAGTGCTCCGTCACCCTCAGAGGGAAGAA